TGGGGGAGACGCCCCGCAGCTGCCCGGCCCGCGGCCCCCGCAGCTGAGGCCCAGGACACCGGGCCCTGGTCACTGTCAACACACACGTTGGCGCGGAGCCCTAACCCCCAGCACCTGAGTGTGACGATCTGGGGAGGGGTCTTTAAAGAGGCACTGACGTTAAATGGGGTCACGAGAGTGGCCTGTTCTCCCAAGAGGAGATCAGGTCCCAGACACAGAGGAGGGGCCAGGTGAGGGTGCAGGCACGGCATGCTGTCCTCACGCCTTAGGAGGACCAGCCCTGCGACACCTGGGTCTGACGCCTGCAGAGTCCCGTGGGGCTCTTTCCACGGGTGCCCCTCTGACCCCTACTCCTTTCCCTGCAAAGCATCTGTGGAAACAGCCCCACCAGGACCCCTGCACCCCCAGGGTTCCGCAAGAGGCTTGGAGGAAAGAGCCTGGCCGGGCTGCCCGTCTGCAGTCACACAGATCTCAGGGGTGGGGTCCCTGCGAAGGCAAACTTCAAACAGCCTCAACTCTCCTAACATGCTGATCGGCCCTCAAATGGACCGACCCGAGCCTCTCAGGGCCCCGGGCAGGTCCTGCCTCAGCCAGCTCGCCTGGCTGCCTCCCTGCCCCTGGCGGCAGGGTTCAGGGTTCAGGGTCAGGGAGCGTGAGGGGGCTGGACAGCACTAGGAAGACGGCCCCTCGCTGACCATCAGCGTTAAGAGGGCTCTGGCCCCGGGCTGGACTCCACCTACAACCTTCTCCTGCCTCCTCTCGGGCCTGTGTTCCACCGGCAATGCTCCTGTCCAGACTAAACACGGTAAATGACCGACTCTGCACTCTGCCCCGCTGCCTCGTCAGGCCGGGTTGCGGGCTCCAAGCCCTGCAGCCCCGGACGCCCCCCTGCCCCAGGCAAACTCCACAATAAAAAAGCTACGTCGACACCCCCGGGGCCCTGACTTCCCCGCCACGCAAACTGGGTACAAGGCAGGCACTGTCCACTGTCAGGGACCAGAAGGCTCGCCCTGGCCTGCACGGGGTGGTGGGGGCATTCACATCAGGGAACGCCCAGCTCAGTTTCTAGTCCTTAAATGCCCGATTTCCACACTAACTTCTAGTTCTCATTAGAGGCGTGTTGTGGGTTTCACACTTTATGATCCTCATAAGGGCGCCCTGACGGGGACAGTCTCGGTCAGCGCAGCAGAGGTGCTGGCTGTCGGGCCACGGGGGACGCTGGATTGAGCTGCCCTGGGGCTCCCCTAACCTCCCTGGGGGACTTGAGGGATGCGACGTCTCACTGTCGATACCTTCTCAGCACGAGATTCGAGAGTCAGCCCTCGGGCGTGGTGGGCAGAGGGTAGAGAGGGGGCTCCCAGGAGTCAGGTGAGGGTCTGATGCCCCGGAAAGGCGGGCAGTCCGGGCTGAGACCCCACCTCTCCCGACGCACACGCGGACACGCGCCAAGTGCTGTTGGGGTCTCCGTGGGCCAGCCTGTCAGTGTGTCTGGGCGTCCGCTAGGTTCAAGCCAAGGATGCTCACAGCCAGCGGCACACCGTACGTTATTCCAGAGGAAAACAGTATGTACGTAGATGCGGCAGACACGGCAAGATTTTACCAACTGGCCGTCTGGGTGAAGAGTATGTGGGAATTATTTGTGCAGTTCTTTCACTGTTTATATAAGTATGAAATTATCTCACAATAAAACGCTTTTTTCAAAAAGGGGGATGTCTGCCGGTCAGTTTCCACGTTAACCCAGAGCCTCCGCATATTGGACTCAGGAAGTCACGCCCTGTCGTGGGTGCTGGTGGTTCAGACTCCGCTGAAGGGCTCTTTCCTTTTAGGAAATTGCAAGCCCTGGCTGCCTGTCCTTGCTGCGAAGCTGTGTGACCTGAGGTCAGAATCTGAGCCTCGGTGTGCTTGGCTGTGAGATGAAGGAACGACACCCTCTGTCAACTCTCATCTTGGGGGAGATTAAATGAAGTCAGGAAAGGTTAAGTAATCTGCCAGCCGCAGAGAGCAGGGCACCCTAAGGTGGCAGGGAGACGGAGATATGGAAACCGCTTACCAGGAACAGGTCCCGGATGAAGAATTTAGCTCTTGTGACTTTGGGATCTTCTCCTGCATCTGGTGTCGCTGTAGAAGACCAAAGGGAGTTTCGTGTAAGTGAGGAGAAGCCGATGCAGCTCGATGGGACGGCCGGGAGCAGGCGGGGGCAAGGCTGACGGCGGGAACGGGCCTTTCAGCTCTTCTCCCTCACTGATTTTAGCCACTGTCTGTGGCTCTGATGAAACTTTGTTTTGGCAGTGGGGGGACAACTTCCAGTTAAGTACAGTGAAAGCAGCTCAGCGACCGGGAAGCCGTCCCCTGGCCCTCGCAGCTTGTCCCGCTGGCCTGGTCCCTGGGGGCCCCTTTCACGCCCACTGCGGACTCGGGCACCTGCAGCCCCACTGCCATCACTGCGGTGCCCACTCTGACTGCCCCCTGTCCTCACACCTTCCCAGGGAGAGAGTGGACTGGACAGGGCGAGGGGGTAGGGGCTGGTTCCCAGGAAAAGTGAGGGCAGCCCGGGCCTGCGGGGCGGGCGGTGGTCCAGTAACCGAGGGGCAGCCACCTGGGCCTGGGACGTGCCCTGAGGCTGGCCTAGGTCAGGGCCAAGACCATGACAGGCCTCTTCACTTCTTACCTGCAGTTTCTGGGAAGGCCCCTTTCCTCCCACTTGTCTAGTCTGCGATTAACCTCGAGGAGTGGGGTTACTTTGCCGTTAGCACACTCTGGTGGCCCCGGTGAACTCAAAACCCAAGAGCAGCCACTGGAAATGGGTTCACAGCTCCGCCGGGCCTGCCGGACGGGACCTTCCCAGCTTGTGGGAGTCCCATGTGCCAGGCCCCATAGTCTCCCGGGATGGCTGGTCACCTGATGAAGGCATCGTGCTGTGGCCAAAGTCATCGCTGGAGACAGAGGCCTCCACACGGTGGCCGGCAGCGGGCAGCTGAGGACAGAGGTCGGCTGCTGCCTGGTCCTCGCGGGCCCTGCCTGAGTGGCTTGGACAAGCGGCGTCCCCTCCCTCGGAGGGCCAGCGGGCAGGTCCACGTGGAGACTGACCCAGGGCCAGTTCAGCGCAGACCTGCCCAGGGCCCCACGAGGCAGAGCTTCCCCCACAA